TTATACATATTTAATGCAAATCATGAAAGCTTTTTTCAGATTAAGATTCTGAAAGGATTGTGTCATCTGGAAGGATAGCTTCTAGTAGGATAGTGTCATTGGCAACAGCAGTCAGCCCACGTCCATCTGACCCCACGATCTACTGCTGCTGCTGCCTAATACTTGCTGATAGCTTAAGAAATTTAGAAATTAGTAGGTTGTGCATTCCTGTTAGTGATCAGTGCATTCCCTGAGGCATAAGGGTTTGTATCCCTTACAAAACCCATCTCTGTTTTGGTGGATTGGGTTTCTTTTTCATTTGGGTTTGTTAGTCTTCAAATTACAAAGTAGTAAAGTCTTCAGCTTTAGAACTGGGGCATATTTTTCCTTCCATAGAGTTACAAGATGGGAAGAAGAGAGCAGGTCCATCAGTTTGCCTACTGCACACGCACACGTACGAGTGCTTTTTCTGTGCGTTACTTTCTGGTGATGGCATCTCTTGGAGGGAAATTCCCAAGAAGGCTGTGGCAGTTCTGCATCTCTGTCATACGTTGATAGTTTATTGTATACTACAATCTGCCCTGGCTTGTGTCTCATAACCCCCTTTGTGGCACATACAAGTTGGAGAAAGGGACTTGGAGCACCTTTACATCCTAAACTCCTCCCCAGAACTCACAGCAGTTGCACTGTATGGTTCCAGTGTTCCGATGATAACCCCTCTCCAGTCCACATCCAGCTGGTGCCCCAGAGCTCTGCCAAGAGTGGCTGTGACTGCGATAGTTTCTGCAGCAGCTCAGGCTGAGGACAGGCAGGGAGGGGGATTTCTGACGTACAGTCATTTGAATAAAACCATTGCACCTCTACAAACCAGATGTTGACAGCTCTCATGAAGGTGCAGACATCTCTGACATGACTGCTAACCAAACTCAAACACATAAATAGTTTGCTATAATAGCTCTGTTTCAAAAAACTTTAGTTGCAAGCACTGACCTGGAGAAAGACACTGAAATCCTGAGGTTGCTGGGCTTAACTGGTGGAAAAGGAATAAGCTCAGGTGCTGAGAGCTGACTCGGATGTTTTCAGTTTTCCTGCCAGAGTGAGAACTATTTGCACAGATGAACAAATTACAAAAGAGCTCCAAAGTAATGTAGAAAGGAATAAGCTTCTTTAATATATATCAATTTCTGCTTGGGGAACAGTGAAATTCAGTTAAAAGTCTCAGCTGCCTGTACTGCTTTTAAGTGCAGATAATGTAGAGAAGAATTTGGCTGGTATCAGCCCTTTTTGTCTCACTAAACTGCTGAGAATCCTGGGGCAGGACAAAGAGGAAAAAGCACTTGGGGGAAAAATCTAATGCAGAGGAAATGGTAGAAATGTCCTGCTACAGCGGTAGAGAATGGTGCTTCCTCTGTGTGGGTAGTATCTGACTTTCCCATTTGTTTATGTTGGTTGATATGTTTGCATACACTCAGAGAGGTGTATGTGTATATAAATGCACACACAAAAATTAGCAGTTGCCTGTATTGCACATGTAGTGGTTTGGGGACCAGTTTCTAAGTGGTTCATGGCATATCTGTGGTCCAAATGAGTAGCAGCATAAGAATTTTGGAGTTGTTTTGTTGTTTGGATTTCTTTTCTTCCTATATGAAAAATGAAAAGGTCAGGCCTCTCTCAGAAAGGATCACTTTTGTCTTGGGGAGCTACCCAGCTGACCCTGTTCAGAGATGACAGAAACATAAATTCTGACCAACTGTGATTAGAGATGGAAGATTGGGGGTTCTGCCTTATTGTAACAAATTACTGCATAATTTCATTGTATAGCTTCCAGTACACTGCATGTTAGCCAAAGATCCAGAAGAGATCTTTCAGCAGGATAAGAAGAGGTATTTTCTCTTTAATCCTAGATAGAAAGCTCTAAAACCAGACACAACATAGAACTGATTATTTATAATTACCTAATAATGTTTTAGACTTTTCTATGTTTTGCCTAGCTGTTACACTTAAATAGCTGCATTGTCCATAGTCTTGAATCTCAGAAGGGCAATACCATTCATGTCTTTATGTAGATTATGCTTTTGTAAGACTGCTTTTATTGCCAGCTGAAGTCAGAATCTCATGACTTAAATTTTGATACTACTGCTTCAGAGAACATAGTTTAAATATTAAACAGATACTTGGAGTGTGTAAGCATGGGATAAGCCAGGGAGGAGTATTCGAGGAGGAACTGGGGGAGAAGAATTAACATATTACTTATTGCAGATGATTTCATTGTATTGGGTACTCTGATTCAATGGTATTGATGGAACTGAGTCACTCTTTACCACAATAGGAAAACTTTGTACAGTTTCCCTGCTTTACGCAAGGATTGTAAGAGGAACCTTATAACAGCATTCTTTGGAGGAAATTCTTGTCCATTGCGTTCACTGGGAGTGATACTGTCTGACGAGCACAAACTTGTGTCATTTTTGTGTAGGCTTTTCAAATTTGAGGAATTTCCAGTGCTTTGAGGCCCCCAAACATCAGAGGACATGGACCTGCTTGAGCGGGGCCAGAGGAGGCCACGAAGATGCTGGGGGGGCTGGAGCAGCTCCCCTGGGAGGCCGGGCTGAGAGAGTTGGGGGGGTTCAGCCTGGAGAAGAGAAGGCTCCGGGGGGACCCTGAGAGTGGCCTCCCAGGGCTTAAAGGGGGGGCAGGAGAGGGGGGGAGGGACTCTGGGTCAGGGGGTGGGGGTAGGATGAGGGGTAACGGTTTTAAACTGACAGAGGGGAGATTTAGGTGAGATCTAAGGCAGAAATACTTCCCTGTGCGGGGGGTGAGGCGCTGGCCCAGGGTGCCCAGAGCAGCTGTGGCTGCCCCCTCCCTGGAAGGGTTCAAGGCCAGGTTGGACGGGGCTGGGAGCCCCCTGGGCTGGGGGAAGGGGGCCCTGCCCGGGGCAGGGGGTGGCACTGGATCATCTTTAAGGTCCCTTCCAACCCAAACCATTCTGCGATTTTGTGATTTGCAAACTTGTCATTCTACATGTGTAACTACCACTGTCTACATACTCATTCCAGGTCTGACAGATGACTATTTTGCCCATCACCCTCTCTGTTATCCAGATTCGAACCTCTTAAGAAACAAAAATCAGCCTTCAGTTCCCCCACTTTCTAATTCTGCATGACTAAGTCATTCAGCATGTAATAAATACTGTTGCTCATTCCAAATACATTGGTTACCTGTGCACCAATCATTGTCAGCATATTTCTGCAGTGGAGTGGTTTAGCATTAGGTAATTGGCATAAATTAAATGGCTTGAGTCACAGTATTGCCCTTTCTGCATACACCCACGTGTCTGTTACGTATGTGCAGCTTATGGGAGATACATGAACGATAGCAGCACTGCAAACGCCCTGCCAGCAAACAAGGAACTTGTATACTCTCAGAAAATAGGTACCGATGCAGAATTTACATCAAAATAAGAGGAAGTGAAGAGTACACAAAAGTATTTTTGTGTGACTATAGGAATCCTCAAGGAATTATTTTCAGCTAGGGGATTACAGTGAGGAAAACAATGAAAAAATGTCAGTGGTAGATTTTTGTCTGCTGATGTATATATTTATAACTGAGGCACGTGGCTTGATGTCTGGATGGCATTTTCCGTATTTGTGCATGAGAGCCCTGTACTCTGGCTTAACTTTGCTGTAGGGCACAAAGTCAGTCAAGTCCCTGTAACTCAACTTTTTCCCTCAGAGCTCATTGTTTTCAAAGCACTTTCATATTTATCATAATCCCTGCTGCTGTTCTCATAAATGATATATAGAATAATAACAGTAAATTGAGGATCTGTAGAAGTTACATTTGTAGAAATAAATTTCCTTGTGCTTACAGTTCTCTGCAACTGCCTATTTCATTTCTGCACCTGCAATTACTTTTGGGTGTAGCTCAAGGTGCTTAGATGTTTGAGAGCTTGATTGTGCTCAGGTGTCAGGTATTTAGGCATCAGAGTATTGTGCCTTTTGCCGCCACACAGCAGCACCCAGAAAACTGCAGGTGTAGGGAAAGAGCTCGGCTTGAAAATCAGGGCCTTGCTGTTTATGGAAGTGTTGGCTGAAACGGGGAAACGGGCCGTGAAGAAAACCATCAGGTGAACAGTTGCTTTTTGTCCCTTCTTAGGCTGTGTTGTGCTGAACGTGAAGTCCGTCTCCCCGTTCTGCCGGGTCGCCCTGTGCTCAGAAAGGCGCGCGGTTCCCCGGCGGGCTCGCGCCCTTCGCGCCCCGGCCCTACTCCTCGCTGCGCACGCTGATCTTCCGCGGGCGCGCGGTAGAGCTCAGGTCTTACCTCTTTGTAACCGTGTGCATCTCAGCTCAGACTGTAACCTGAGGTTTTCAGAACTGTTCAGCGTTGGCTGACTTTGCCTTCCTGCTGCGAGGGGGAGATTTGTGCTTTTTTTCAAGGGAAATGGAGCGAGATAGGTGCTTAGCACCTTTGAAAAACTTCCCTTATTCCATGGCTTCTAATGAAGGAAAAAAATAAGAGTTTGGGGGGTTGTAAATTCAACTCTTTCACAGCTTTGAAGAGCCTTTAGGATTTCACCAGTCTTAACTTGTCCCTTGGGAGGTTGGGATTGTGCTCAGCAGGTGTTGCTTTTTCTGGATCCCAGAGCAGGATTTGTTACACCCGCCCGCCGCCCCAAACCTCCTTCTGTCAGTGTGGTGATGCTGACACTTGGGCTTAACAAGTCAGCTGCATCCTGAGAATAAATTGAGGGTCTTCTGCCTGTATTAGACTATCTTTTTGTGTGTCATGGAGTATTATTATTACTTCTCTTTCATGCCTATGAATCTTCACAAAAAAATAAAATCTTCTGCCCAGTAAGAGACAAATGAAATGAGTCTAAGGTTTTAAAAATGAATGCATACAAGGGGATCTCTTTCCAGTCACATGAGTTTACATTTCCCTGTTTGCACACATTTCAGTGTTGTCCATCCTGAGTTTAAAAAGGCAAGGGGAAACCTGCTAATGTGTTTTATCTCTTTCCTCAGTATTTCTGGCTTCTTGTGCTCTCACGAGGTTTGGTTGGCATCGGTGAAGCAAGTTACTCCACTATTGCACCAACCATCATAGGAGACCTTTTCACCAAAAACACAAGAACCCTTATGCTGTCTGTTTTCTACTTTGCAATTCCTCTTGGCAGGTAAGTGACATAATGCTTCTTTTGTCTGGTTTTGGCTTTTCTCTTAAAGTAAGATCACACAGATCTTAAGTTGCTAATGATGATAGTTCTTCTATCTTTGGCTGGAATGGTTTAGACAGGAAAATATTGTGAGCAGTGACTAATTAGTTGCAGGAATTGGATTCTTTTTCTAGCCCTGTTACTGGTTCATGTGTGACTTTTGGGAATTTGTGGGAAAGATTTTTTTTTTTCTTTAACAGCAATGGGGTGGAAATAGAATAAAAATATTTTAGCTGAATTTTTTTTTAGCATTATTAAATTAAACTATCATTTTGAATAATGCTGTGTTCAAATGTTCTCTGAATCATTTCTTCAATTCATGTGAGGTCTGTGTAGGACTTCTTTAGGCAATGTCTTTCAGGTTACTGTGAAATCAAGATCTCTTAAGACACTGGGCTGTTTTCAAAAGTGAACAAATAGGTACCTGCTTCTATCTGACAGTCCTCCTAAATATCAGAGGTTTCAAGAGGAGTATATTATATAAAATACACAATTTGAAATTTTGACTTTAAAAAACATTTTTCATTTAAGCTCAAACTCTGCCCAACTTTGAATTTGGCCAATCTGACTAAATTTGGAAAATGCAGCTAAGCTAATCGTAGGTGAGTTGGTAGTTGCAATAGTAGTGGCCAGTCCATTTTAGTGCTCTTGCCACTGAAACAGCAATTAGGAGAAATCCTGAAGTCTGATGTAGACAACAAGGCTGAAGAGAGAAACTGTAATGATCATTCCCACTCAGTCTTAATGCTGAATAGTAGAGGACAGCCAAGCCCATAGATGCCTGATGAAAGCAAGAGACAGACTCAGATTTGGAGTATTTAATTCCTCTGGCACTTTCTTTCAGCTGAGTGCCCTTATCAACCCAATGCAGTATCTGATTGTTGGGACAGGAGGGAATCTGTGACTTTTTTTTTTTTTTTTTTATTGTTTTTTAAATAACGGCTGACCCTCTATTGTGAGGTTGTAGGCAGGGTGGGTTTGCATACCGATTCCCAGAGCTGGACAAAAACCTGTGCAAAAGTGGCATCGTGGGTTCAGCATGGAAAACACAGGCAGCAGTTTAATCCATTCCCCCCTGCCCCCCAACTCAGGGAAAAACTTCTGGTTTAGGGTGGTACATTTTGCGAGTTAGAGCACTCATCCCTGAGATAAAACTCACAAGCATCCTTTTGCTCTTGAGGAAAAAGAGACAGCCAAGGCCTTAACTGGTGAAAAGCGTATTTTCCCAAGAGGACAGAGGATGCCAAGTATTTACATAGAGAAATCATTGAACCGTGGCTAGCAAGAAATCACAAATATTTATTCTGTTGAGCCTGATTCTGGGACTAAATTATCTCAATATCCAACAGAGGTGTGGATCCATGATTTCGTTTTGACGCTCATCTGTGTAAAAAAATGAGTTTTGGGGTGATTATAGATGGCAACCTCCAAAGCTTAGAAGAGTTTATTTTTTCAATAAAAGCATGTGATGGCTGATGGCTGCTCTGCAGCAGTCCGGGCAACTTTTAGCCAAGGCAGTCTCAGCAGCAAAAATTCAGTTCACTCTGGGAGAAGCATGGCTACATTCACCTTTATTTACCCTCTTGTGAGCCACCTTTTGTTACCTCAGTGTAATTCTTAGAATGTGGCTCAGGGTCCTGTTGTTCCTTTATCTTCAGAGGGGATTTCCAGACTTCAGGTCTGATATTCTTCCATCAGACCGTCTTGTATATTCTTACTGGTTTTCCTTACAAGCTTATGGAAAATGGTCTCTTCCTGGGTAATTAGAACCAAGTACTATTAAATAACAAGAAGAAAAATTTAATGATGGAATATGGTGTGTCCTTGAAGGGCACTTCTTAACTGAGAGCTTGAACATAAAATCGTTAAGTATTCATATTAGTGCACAGGAAGGCCTGATGTAGAAATTAAATTGGGAAATAAATTCTGTTTGAGGCTTTGTTTCCATCCACTGTAGATTGAAAGGTCAGCTATAAACCTGAGATCGGTGTCCAAATTTCCATCAGATTTCAGCATTTTTAGATCAACAGTGCTGGGAAGAGTTATGCATTAGCCACCATCCGCTTCTTCCTCTGTGTTTCTTCCTGCAGCAGAAGAGAGCCTGGGACACACTCTTTTTATCTTTGTTTAAGAACATCTGTGATTGTGGCAGTCTGTTAAAGCTCTGACTGACTCTCAGCTTTGCATTTCTTGTAGTGGCTTGGGATACATCACCGGGTCAAGTGTGAAGCAGGTTGCTGGAGACTGGCACTGGGCATTGCGGGTGAGCCACACTTAATAACATCAACGGTTGCATCAACTGATCAGTTCTATCACACAATCCCTCAACCTGTTATTATATATAGAAGGTAAAGGTTTGGAAATTAAGTGGTAATATGGATATAAAGTGCAAAGCAAACACATTCTCTAAGCGAGTGGAAAAGGTATGTGGTTTTGGCTCGTTGTACTTGTTTTTTTCCCCTGCCTGGGAGCAAGAATTTTCCGATCACTTTATTATCAGTCAACCATGATTTCTTGATGGGGATGGGAAGACGAGACATTGGCCTTAAATCAACTCCACAATCTTTCAGTCCCCTGCTGTCAAGAAACTCCGAGAATGACTTCCTGCTTTGAGGAAAAAACACTTTGTTCCAGTTTCCGCTTGTTTTTCTGCCCTGAGACAGTTGGTTTCCTTCTATTTTAACCTCTTGGGACGTTGATAAATGTGTTGAAAAGATAATACGCTCCAATCACATATGCACAAACAGATCCTGCACACAAAGATGTCTTGAAAGAGCTGAGAGGAAGTGGCCCAGCAGAACTGTTTTCTGACCTTTAGTAGCCTGGGTGGCATGAGCCCCTGTGGGGTGCATTCCCCGGCTCTGGCACTTCATGAAGACAATGAATCTCATGAAGCTCAGGCCAAGACCATTTATAACAGCAGGTGATGAAGTACATGGGTTCCCATCTCAAACAAATGTGCCCTTCTGTGACAGGCCATTCCCTCCCTGTCCAGCAAGGGTAAGCAAAGCCAGGAAAATCACCATGAACAGTTCGTCTGTATCCAGGAGAGTGGAGAGTGGTTTCCAGCTGTGAACCTGAAATGAAAAGTTTCTTAGCCTACAGCTTCACATCAAGAGGATGGCTACCTCATTCAGTAGCAGAAATACTTTAAGGGTAAAATTAACTTTTGAGTAGAGGCCACTACAAGGAATAAGAAACCCCAAAGCCCCTCCTCCTGGTCAGTGGACTTTAATGGTGTTGATAAATTGGAGCGCTCTTGTGCTTCTACCTGTAAAACTCAAATGATTAATTTGTGCAAAGAAATCCTCACTAGCATCTTTCTCTTCCATAGTTATCCTGAGAAATCCAGGCTATCTGCAAGACTGTACCCCTTATGGGGTCATGATTTCCACTATAAATGACACATTTATGCATGATTCCCTGACTGGGCAAAATCATGGGGAATCTGACAAGCTGCACGCTTCTATGATGGTTGCTTTAGACAGCATTGCTTGGTTTTTGTAGTCAAACAGCAGATGTTGAAAGCTTCCAGGCATCAGTGTAAAGCAGCTTCTGTCCCTGTGGCAATTACTGTGCTTTTGCAAAATGTGGAAGATTCCCCTAGGTGATGCTTCCCTCTGTGATCTCCTGTGGTCTCCAAATCCAGGAGAGGTCAGGAATAATCTGTACTTCAGTGGGCTGAAGAAGACAGAAGGGCACGTTGGCAAGTGGCAGCTTTGCCTCTGGATTTAGCAGTAATGTCAGTGTTTCACTGGAGCGCTACTGAGTATCAATGGATATTGTCCTGTTGGGGGATTAAGCCTTTAGATAAAAATCAAAGAAACTTTAAATTATATGGCCCTAGAAAATCCCAGCGTTTTGTTTTTTTTTTTTTTACCAGTGCTCTGTCTTGTGTTCAGCTGTATTAAGGACACTGTATCAGGCTTCTTTTATCCCCAGATGAGGGATTTTCCTGACTTTCCAGTTCTGAAATATTTTTGTCTTCCCTTCACTAGAAGAATTCTGGGTTGGTCATCTCTGCACGTGAAACCCTGCTCTATGTGTAAAGGCCATTCTCGGGTTATTATTGGAAGCATATTTTTTTTGAACAGGAATTTATTTTTAAAATAGCATGTATAGAAGAGAAGATAGTTCAGTGAAAATCCATGTTCCTATTTTCCTAATGGAGCTATTTTCCATTCTGGCAACGATGGAACTTCAGTGTCAAAACAAGAATCATATTTGTAGCTTGCAAACCACTGTGGGATCTTTGTATTTCTGTCTAGTGACTGGGAAACCTAACCCTAGAATGTGTTGTTTCCTATCTTCCAGCCTGAATTTTCAATGTTTCTTGGTCTGCTGTACACTGAGGTCATCTGACAAAGCTGCCTGAAAATGGGAAGCTGTTGTGGGTTAGCTGGAGGAGGGATGCACGTCAAGCAAGGATTTGCAAAGCCAGCATTCTTCCTACATCTAGGAATCTTTCACCTGGCCTCATTGCCCTTAAAAGTCTTTTGCACTCTTCCAGCACATAACTGGTCTCTTAGTCCAGCTGGGAGTAGGTTTCCAAAGAGTTAAACATCACTGAAGAGCTGCATTTAGATGAATCTTGGTACTTTAATAACACAAAGAAATGGACTGCCTTAATCAGAGTATTCTCAATGCTGCATGCTTTCAGCATGAGGTAAGAGTCCAGGGAATGACAGAGAGGAAGGAAAGGAGCAGATGCCTCAGTGTGCTTACAGATTCTGGCTAGCTGTAAAGAACAAAGTCGCTGAAATGAAACTAATGTAATCTGCCTGTTACTGACTAGTCAGAGCAAACCCTGCTGACTCCTGTGCTAATTCCCTGTTCCTTTCTTGCAGGTATCTCCACTCCTGGGAATGATAACGGGGACACTCATCTTGATATTTGTACCTGCTGCTAAAAGAGGAAATGTTGAACAACTTGGGGGACAGCTGAAGGCTCGGACCTCATGGCTAAGAGACATGAAAGCGCTGATTAGAAAGTAAGAGCACTCTAGTAAAAAGCATGCTTTGCTTCTAATGCTTAACTGGAACATCCAGCAGCCTGTACTTCTTAGCACTGTGAGACTGGAAAGCAACAACATGTGGGGAGGGGCAGGAAGCTTGGTCTGTGGACCTGGGGAAGAAAATCACAGTTACATTTTCATGAGGGATCCACTGCAGTGACAATGATGGATTCCAACTTTTGCTCTAACCCTTCTAAGATTGAGATCTGAGAGGGAGTCTGCTTTGTTTGGCTCATACTTCAGACAAATCAAGGCTTTTGAAGTGTAGAAATTGCTGTGTTCCTGTATTAATTGTTGTGCTGCTGTTGTTTAGATGCTTAGATCCTTTTTCTTCCCTGAAAGAGCTACTCTGCTGAGGGGAAAAAGAGAGTTAAATACCAGAGCAATTTAAGAGGATAAAATACACAAAAACTTGCACTATACGGCAAGTTTATGTATGTTTATACAACAATATGTGGCTGAATGCATGAGCACTGAATGTGCTTGGGTGCTTGTGTATGTGCAAAGAAGATCTCATGCTCATGAGTGTTTAAGCAGCTGCACTTGCTTCCAGAAAGCTTGCCCATGAATGTGCAAATACTTGCACTTGTGAATTGAGTGTTACACTGGAATTCTGATGGGAAACTTGTGGTGTCCTTTGTTTTTAGAACTGCTGGCTAAAATGACTTCCTGGTATTGTCATCTAGTATCAAAGGACTATGAAAAGTGATGATGGTTAATTTATTATTATTTCTATATTACTTATTTTGGTAATTTATATGAGTAGTAATCATATGGTGGCATGGATGGGCAGGGAGAAGTGACACTTGTCATCCAGGTAAACAGATGATATTACAGTGAAAGCCCTGTAATTTACACATCATGTTTTAGTGACAAAGCACCGCTTGTCTTCTGAAATGGTCCCATGAAGAATGGTGTCTATGAAGCACCTCTGAAGAGTTAAGTACATTATTATCAATAGAGCATCATGTATGAAGAAATTTTCCATGCCTCTTATTCTCCATTGCTTTGCACCTTGTATTGTCCCTGTCCCTTGGCAAAGAGAGCTGGCTAGTATGGGGGAACACTGTGTTTTGTTGCTGAAGCACTGGCTCCTGTCCTGGGGCTCCTGCTTTTTCAGTTTTCCCACTAAACCTTCTCATGGTTTTGCCTTTTGCATCTCCGCAGCCGCAGCTACGTGTTCTCATCGTTGGCCACCTCAGCTGTCTCCTTTGCCACAGGGGCGCTCGGCATGTGGATCCCTGTCTACCTTCACAGAGCACAGGTTGTGCAGAAGACAGCAGAGACCTGCATCTCACAGCCCTGCAGCACCAAAGATAGGTGAGATTCATACTCTGCTGCTTTAAAGAGAGGGAAAAAGGGATGGGGGCTTATTTACCAGAGGAAACAGGCAAGTCCCACAGAGTCAAGTTACTAGAACGTCTGTAATTTCCTCTAGGTCTTTGCAACAATGATAGGAAATTCTGGGATTGTAAACTAGGTTTTATTTCTCTTCTTCATTGCATGAAGTCTAACCAAGGGAGAAGCAATTACCTCAGCTCTGTCTTAGTTCTCAGGCTGTGGTGCAGAAGTAGAAAAGACTTTTGTCTTTGCCTTAGAGGATGTTTGGAGAGCTGAGAATTTGGTTTCTTAAGACTCAAACTCACCTGTGATGGCAGAAGAATAAGCCAGCAGGCTGGGTAGCCACAGTGGTGGCTATAATATTCAGAGGCTGGACTGGTTTCCCCTAAAGGCTGCAGGGACTAACCCTAAAGACACTTGTTTCTATGTGAGGGACGACTTCACTGTGTTTCATTGCTCTGTATACTACTGTGCTTGCTGAGTTCTGCCAAAGAATAGTACAGAGATCTGGGACACTTTGGTCTGGAGTGCTTGATGTTATACAGTGGTTTGGTTTTTCAGTCATGGTTATGTAATATCACTTGTAGCACATAAACTATGAGAAGTAGTTAATTGTTTTGTGTTTTACTATGATAACACAAAACCTAAAATGCTAAAAAAGCATTCTCTAGGTGAATAATATGTAAGATAAATTTAATTTTGTCAGCTCTTTTTCTTTTTAGCTTGTGAGGGAAAAACAACATTAGGAAAACCTTGCTCTAGCTGACACAATCCCATCTCAAGTACACTACTTAGTGGTTTGGAGTACCATCAACCAGAGCACCCAGCGGGCAGTCCCAGTCTATTCTGTGAAAATGCAGTGAACAAAAAATACAGCTCCAGTCTGACTGCCCATCTGCTGTTTACAAAGAGAAGTTTTCCACTCTTTGATGACACGTATATTTTGAGCTGCCCTGGAGCTACTGTAATGTAGTTGCCAAAGAGTCTGTAATCCAAGTCCTGCACATACAATATGGAGAATCCTTGACAGCTCCTGGCTCTTCAAATTTAAATTAACACATTTCAAATGTGTACCCTAACAGCAAAAGAAGGCTTCTTTGAAGTGGTCTGAAAGGAGTTAGAAAGTCAAAGTATGTTGAAAGCCACTGGTATTTACAGTCTTGTTAGGTTTCCTTTCCCTTAAGCTTATTAGTGTGTGTTCTATCCATGATTTCCCCTTACATGATCAATGTGCAGGTTATTACTTAGTTTAGTGCATCCCTAATTAGCTGTACAATGCACTTTATAGGAAGCTGAGTTCCACACAAAGAAGCAGTCTGTGAGCCCTTTGCACCTCTACATGTTGATCAATGCCCATGTACAAGGCTGAATTTCATATGCTGTGTTTTTCTTAATTGCAGGGGAAGAGTACTAAAATCACAAGGACTCAGCATGGGAGCTCATTTGTTTTATTTTAAATTTGCAAAGCCAAAGTGCAGATTTCCATTAGTCAGTTTACCCTAATAATTTGTTCAAAGACCATGCCCACTTTGGAGAAAAACTCAAGAAAAATAATCCTGTCTCTTCTTTTTTTCTTTAAATAGCTTGATCTTTGGAGCAATCACATGCTTCACTGGTTTCCTGGGTGTAATCACAGGGGCAGGGGCAACCAAATGGTGCCGGTTAAAAACCCAGCGAGCTGATCCCCTTGTCTGTGCTGTTGGCATGCTAGGATCAGCCATCTTCATCTGTCTGATCTTCGTTGCTGCCAAGAGCAGCATTGTGGGAGCCTATGTAAGTATAATCCTTTGCATATGCCAGTCTCACTCTTTCCACTAAACGCCTTAGAAGACTGTGTGCATTGTCCCCTGCAGGAAGCCTCAGATGTTGGTCTTGCTTTTCCCCTTCTGAATGCCCTTCATTTTGCCCCTTGGCATATTGGCACTATCTGGGTGTGCCTGGAGGGAAAATGATATCTTAGCTGCTTACCCCTGCTTACTAACTGTCATCAGAATTCAGAGCTGGGGACTTGGCTCATGCATGAAAACCCACAGCTCCCTGCCTTTGGGTTGTTTTATCTATACCTCTATCCATACCTCTATTGCTCTTGCCTAATGTTTTGATACAGGAAAATTGGCCACTTCCCTTGTAATAAGGGTATTGTAGCTGCGCTAGTACCAAATTATAATTACATTATAATTGGTCTGTGGGCATGCCTTTGGCTACCTGTAAGTACCATTCATTTTCATAACTAGGTAGCTTCCTGCAGACCAATGTTAATTACCATGTAATTTCAATTTGTTGTTATCTGTATTACCATAGCACCTGAAAGCCCCAGTCATAGCCCAGGAACCCACAATACTTGGTGCTGCAGAATTGCAGATTAAAATATGGCCCCTCCCTGAACGTTTATAATTAAAGTATATAAAAAGACATCAGATAGATCCAGACAAATAGACTGAAGGGGAAGAGAAAACTCAAGTATAATAATCCAGTACACTGAACGGGTCCCAGGTTCCCTTTCAGTCTAATAGAGAGAAGCCTGGGACCTGGGAGAGGTTTTTGAAGGGAAAGCATGAGATGGTTGGAGTAGTGGGATAATTTCTGAAAGCCCACCCTTAGCTTCCACAGAGCAGTGCACACCACCCAGCGAAGAGAATCCTTTTACAATTTACCAACCAATCAACCTACTATGGTTCCTTGTTTCTCCCTATTTCTGGCACTGGCCTAGCCACGGTCATTTCTCAAGTACTTCAAGGGCTGCCATTGTTATGGGGAAACACAGAGAAAGAAAGTTTAAAAACATTACGACAGAACCAAGAATGCCTATTCTGGCTATTTAGAAAGTGTCAAAAGAGATTTGGTCCTCTGGTTTGTGGCATGGTCTAGAACTAACCTTTGATTCAGCAGAAAAATTATCACCTCAGACAACTTATAAGAGGGTGTTACTGGTTAGTGAAGCATTAACCCTCCTTTCACTGTTAGCCAGCTCTGAGTGAAGAGTTCTGTCACATCCCTCCACCTCTTTGTGCAGCCAGACCTATGATTTTCTCCTTTCTCTGAGCTGATGACAGACATATTCATGTGTGGTGTTTAGTCTCTTTATGCAGAAAGTCCTCCCTTTCTAAGCTTGAAATACTGTTTTCAAAAATTTTGCAACTAAAGGTCATTACTGGTCTCATTTTCATCTTTGTTTCTTAGTTTTTGGGTTTTTTAATAGCCATGTGACTATTCTGCATTGTATAAGTATACAAATATAGATGGTATTATTTAATCAATCTTAGAAACAATTTATTTTATTATGCATGAGCAGTAAATCTAATAAAGAGTTAGTGATTTGCAAAGAAAGTTATATCTGAATATGGAGGGGATATTAGAAATATAAGCCTATTTGCTGATGCTGTTAGGCTGAAGCATACATTTGTTGCGGATAACACTGTCTCTCTGTAGCCCTAAATATGCTCTGTCTGGTGTTGGAAACCTGATGCATAGAAAGCAGATTAAGAGTCTAGTTAATGTGCCGACTGGGGAATCAGAGATCTGAAATCTCTTTATAGATTCTACATGTGACACTGAGCAAGTTATTTAACTTTGTTTTGCTTCTGCAAAAATGAGAAGTCTTAACTTACAAAGGGTCAGGGTAGCTTAGATCATTAATGTTTGTAAATGACCTGGAGTTCAATGGTCTGTGGCCAAGCCATCCACTGTAAATTTATATAAACAGAAAACAGTGACACAACACTTGTTGCTCTTTAGCGTTACAGGTGCTAACCCAACTGAGAGAACAGGTCTGTGTTGGAGCTACCAACATCTCTTAACATGAGGTGTTATCATGGTGGTGCTTATATATCAGTTGGATTGACTTTTCAAAGCAAGTTTCAAACACTAGCCCTTGTATTTCCATGCCATTCAATGCTATTGCAATCTTACAGACTTCCAGAGTGTTTAATTCCTTTGTATTTCACTAGGAGACTTGTCTTGCAAGATTGCATAGTGTAGCAGTTTCTCTTTACGCTCTGTGTTAAGTCTCACTGGTCCAACAAAACAGAGAGATTGTTCTATGACTCTGGAATTGGAATACCTAGATATGGTGGGCAGCATAAGGGTACTTTTCTTATCTCAAAATCCATGATGATAGCTTGTTCTGGAAAGAATGCAGTAAAATTTATGAGTGGATTTTGTCATGTCTGATAAGTCTTGACAGCTATGTCCTGGCTCTCATCCTGAAACAGCATCCTTGAGTTCTCTATGACTGAAAGTCAAGAGCAATGTTCTGGTCTGTTCCCCAACATGGTGGTATTTGCAGACCTTCTGTACTGTGACTATCCTTAGACTTCTGTCATTGATCACACCATGCTGAGGTTGAAAGGTTACTGGTTTTGGACCCCTCATTGGCTTGGAGCCTTACAATTATCACTTCCAAGCATTTAGATGGGTCCCCATGAGATGGTGTTCTCTCTGTGAGCTGTGGTGGCCACCAGATCACCATCTCCCTCCCTACTCTAGTTAACAGTTGAGAATTTTTCATGTCAGCTGATACTGGCTTCATCTTAAATGAAGTGTTCAGCACCCCAGCAAGAATCATCAGAGCCCTCGCTTTTTAATTTCTTGGCCTTTTGGTGGGTTTTTTTGGAAAAGACCTGCATATCCATTAGCATGATCACCTTGTCCCTTACAGGCTGTCAACTGTCTGCTCTCTTCCTCCCTTGAACATATGTACTTTTTCTCCCCTGCTCAGTCCTGTCTTGCAGGTGGTTTTGGTCCCTTAGGGCAGCTATTCCAGTTCTGTAGCAGTCACTCCTACCTGGAGCAGATAGACTGACTTCTTTTTTCCGTCCAATTTTTCATACTAATCCAGCAAATTATTGGCAGTGGTAGAACTGGCTGGAAAGCTGGAATAAAACAGCATTCTATATCACTTAGCTGCCCAGACACTTGTATTTCTATCCTTTACTATCTTGCTTGGCTGTGTAGTCCAATCAGTTCTTAATTTGTTTTCTTTGCAGTGGGTGGAGTTTTGTGTTGTAGTCCAGCTCCTTAAAACAGCAATTTGCGTATCTTTAGGTCCCACTCTTTCTGAAATATGTGCACTTTGAAATGTTGGTTTTCAAACCTGTCTCTTGAAACCCATTAGCTGTATGGCATCGTTGTATCACACTAGTCAGACATCTCACCAGCAGATTTTACGCTGGTTTAAATCTCCAAATGGCTGGAGAAAGTTGCTTCACTTTGCCTTCATCTTGACACTGTTCCAAGTTTCTGTTGTACCTCAATTTCAACATCTATTTAAATTCCTCAAAGACATTTTATGATCTTGCAGAAACAGCAAATCCCAGGATAAAACCTTGCCATAGAGCTTTTACATCTCAATCTCAACATCGGGGACTTTCTTTTGACACAGTGTTGGTGCCGTACCTACTTCTGAGGCATCAATATTGCCCAGCACTGAGATGCAGTTAGATTTGCTTCAAATTCAAGAGTACATGTGGGATTCTTAGCCACCATTTCAGAGAGAAATACAAATAATGAAGGTGTAAACAGATCTGCACTTTGCAAGTAGCCATGGAAGGAGTTTATAACCTGCTTAGATCTTGCTGTGAGAGCTGCTGGTGTGACCACACTGAGAGCTACTAATCAGAATTTGCTACTGATCACATAAACGGAAAGACTCGAGGGGGACATAACTTCTGTCAGCTCCTCACAGATGAGCAGCTGGACACCAAATGGAAATAGTGAGATATTATACAACGCAGCTGGATTCAGAAGAGGATAGATCTGTAGAGCTGAAATCTCAGTGTAAAATGAGGCTTCAAAAAGTGTGTGAGGAGTCAAAACCGTGACCGTCTCAGGAGGTATTGATCTGTTCTGGAGGCTGCCCTATTTGCACTAAGCATCCCTAGAGTCTCTCTCCAGCAGAAATGCCATGTATCCTCATATGCCCTTCGCAGGGGATGAACTCAATTTTTATAAATCCCCATTAGCAGCTGAAGGACAGACTTTTTTTAATGTCAGTATCTTTTGTCCTACTTTTTGATCTTCCTCTTGTTCCTCTTTTACTTTATTAAGCACATGTTTTGTGGAAATGTGTTGAGTGAAATACGCATTCAAAACTGGTGCGCTCTGAAGTCTGTGGGATTTCAGTGATTTATTTATAGGACTTGTGCTGAATTCCTGCAGAAGGGGGCAAGTTTTGCATGCTGTGTGTAACAATTCATATGTGTGTTATGTTTCTGTAATTCATATAACCTTAAGGCAAGCAGTTGCCTGTTTGCAATACTGTATGCTGTATGAACAGGCAGGGCATGTCCATGCCACATTCAGAAGTGTGATTACATCTTTCCCAAGCTCAATTTAATCTATTCAGCCACAGAACTGCAGCAACAGCAGCTGCAAAGCTCTAGTAGGACAGATTTCAGAGCAGGTCCTGGGAGCTCACCTGGGGCTTCAGTATGCCCTTGCTACATGACACATGGCTTCAATTCCTGACAGAACCTTGATTCATTGGACCTGCGTTTCTTAGCTTGCCAGTTGTAATTTCCAGTGAGAGTCAAGCTCAAGGCAGACCAGCAGACAGTGGGAAAATGGAAAGAGGAGATTTCCTAGCTGACCAGCTGGGCCATAATGACTGGCTCCGACACCATCACAGAGGAAGCAGATCCAGTCAGAAAAAGAGGGGATAGGGAGGGAGAATGTAGGGGAAACAAAGACAATTTTAGAAACAAATAGAGGAAGCTTTCTGTAGGTCAATGCGTAAGACTTGTTAAATAAAGAAAACTATTCCTGGCAGTGACATGATGGTCTGAGGGGTTTAGGCAATCTCAACTGGTGTGTGGGAAAGAGAATTGTGGTGGTCACATCATGCCATAGCTGCCAATCTTGCAGTTCCTCCTCCCACCCCAGCCTGTGCCTGAGCAAGCAGCGGGGACCAGGGCAGTGGCCGTGACTGTCAGCCCGTCAAAGCTCCCAGCAACACCACGAAATGACATCCATCTGAATGTTTCTTCAGAGCAAAGTGTACCCTGTATTTCTTGCTGGCTTTGTTTCATTAATGAATTGTAGCCTATTCAACATAACAAAAACTGAACATAAGGCAATTAAAAGGGGAATCTTCAATTAACAGAGTCCAAATCTCCATAGCTGTTATACCCAACTACCAATAGGGATTCCAGGAGTAATGTTTTCTCGCTAGATGCCACAAAAAGAAATGAATTAGCTGGGCAAAAAGCAGCTTTTTTGGGAACATTAAAGGAGTTTTGCTTGCTGCCTTACTGGTGGGGAATGAGGGAGCTGATTTTCACAGGTCTGGTTATTTAAGTGGCATTTTGTCTATAAGATCTGTTCCTCATAATGTACAAAAGAAGAGGGAAATGTGTGTGTGGAAGATTTTCTATCCTTGTTTTTTCATCCTGTTGAACCTACATTTCTTTGCTAAATTGTTAACATACGGTATAAAAGCAAAAGCTTCATGACTGAAATACAAGTAAAAAGCTTTTTGATGGAGGCAGTGCTCCTCCTGCAGCCGTGTCACCCTTGCTCTGTTGGACTCTGTTTGATGAACATTTAACGATAAGGCCAGGTTAAATTCTCTTCTTGATCATTTCCAGTTCTTCAACTGTTTGTAGAACCATTTAGTGAACTGCAACAGAGAATTGATTTGGGTTAAAAATAAGCCAAACAAGCCCCTCTTCCCCTACTTCCCCCCAACAAATGATTCTTTGCCCCATCTCCGTTTCCTGCTCTGAATCCCTGCTTGGCCCCGTTGTACCAGCACAGCTGAGAAGGCAGTATGAGACGGGAGTAAGTGAGAAGGGAGTGCCAGAGGTGGAAAGGATATGTGGTGGCTGTTCATACCACACCACTGCAAAAAGAAGAGCTCTCATCCCACTACATACACAGGGCTTTTAGTGTATCTTGTTGACTTTCTCCACAGAGTCAAGAGTTATATTTCACCATAAGACACTGATGTTGCAAAAACCATACTGCAGTCCTGTCTTGACTGTATGTAGAAATTACCAGTGCAAGGCTTGAGATGTTATGGTGCCTAGATCTATGTCCCCCTCAAAAATGACAGCAGTATGCTATCAGGGGAGGGAAGGGATCTTGCACATAGTGGGTAGAGAACCTCATTTGGTTTGCTGCAGATCTTAACACACAACATGACACCTAGTGATGAAAATGACTGTGTTTTGGGGAGTCAAGGCCTTCTTGCCTTTTCTAACTGGCTTTTTGGAGCAGAATGATGCAAGTATGGAAGCCCAGGGCTGTCTCTTCTCACTAGCTTCTCATGTTATTCTGTAACCAAATGTGTCAGCCTTCTATTTAGCTGCTCTGTAGATCACAAACAGTTTACACTAATGAAGTTGCAGGCCAAGACCCTAGAGCTCTGATAAAAGTCCACAGTTTTCTAATATTCAGTATAAACCACAACAGTAACAAGGAGTGTATTGTGTAGGTTTGAGGCAAATAAGCAACAAAGGAAAGTTTGTGACAGGTTATTTTTCCTTTGAATGTCAAGTGAATAAATCTTCTCCTTTTTGTGTGTTTTGTTACAACAGATTTGCATTTTTATCGGAGAAACTCTTCTGTTTTCAAACTGGGCTATCACAGCAGACATACTAATGGTGAGTGTACTTTGGAACAGCATCTTTCTCTTCTGGTGGCCAGAGCAGTTTGTCAGCTTGCAAGAGCAACCTGAAGTTCACAATTTCTCCAAATGCCTAGCCCCTCCTTCAGCCTATATTTTTTTTTTTTTTACTTGCTGAAAAGGAAAGCAAGATAAAAAGAAAGAAAGAAAGAAATATTATTCTTGCTATTCTTGTCCTTTGTTCTGAGCATCAGGGAGAGGAGATGTCCAGAAATGACACCATTACTGAATTCAAATAGTTTCCCCAAATTTTAAGTATTTGCGCAAAACCCTACATGCAGAGAAATCAGCCAGCATTTCATAATACTCAGCACATTAGTGGATTTTGTTATCAATAACTCAGCTTTGTTCTGCAATAGGAAATCCTTCCCTCCCTCCCTCCTCTGGCCACAAAGGCAGCCATCTACCTCTCTCTTTGGCTTAACTCCAGCAAACCTACCATTCAACGCATACACAATAGAAACCACCTCTGGGAGAGGAGAGAGGAAAAGAAAGTATAAAGAATTTTTGGACTATGTCCACCTTGTCCAAGAGGAAACTGTCAGGGACTTTTCACCTTTTGTCCTTCATTTTCCCTTCTTTCTCCACCACAGAGCTTTCAAATCAGGCAGCTGACCTCAGCATCTAGATTTTTCATATGAAATATCTGGACGTTTGTTAGAGAGCCTTGCATGTTTGGTAGATGCTTCCATCAGAGACATACAAAGCCTATCAAACAGACTGTATGCTGAAATCTCATTGTGAGGGAGGTTGCTTGTTGCTTATTGTATGAAAACGAAAGAAACTAAAGCACAGAACCATTACAGGACTTGCCCGAGGTCTTTTGGCAGCTTGTTGACAGAACTAAAAATACAATCAGTCTGGCATCAACAGAAAACTCCCTTGACTTGTATTTGTTGCTTATGCAAACATCAACGAGAAAACAATCTGGCTCTGTATTCCTAGATGTAAAGATAATGTTGTTGATATATTGATTCAGCGAAGAACTTCAACCTTCTGCTTAAGTTCTGTTTATGATTTAAGTTCAAGGTTGTGTTTATATTTTACGGTAGCTCCGTAGTTGCCATAACTCTGTTGCCTGATGAACTTTCAATCTTTAACTCATTTGTTGCAGAGAATGCTTTGGGAGGTGGGGTGGGGTGGTTAATTCCACTTCTGTCAGATGTGAATAAAGCACAGAGAAACAAAGGTTATCAGTGTACTTCAGTAGCATTAGATAGCTTTTAATTACCAAGGTTTGTTCCTCCTAGCAGTTTAGCTTTAGTGTGAGAGAGCTCTGCATGGGCTGAACGGGTGGTTACTCTGTACTTATGTGGGTTTTGCAGCTTGTGCTGAGTTCAAGGCGGCCGTGGCCGTTCATTAAGTGGTATCTCAGCACTGAGATGTGCAATCTACAGACAGCTGTGTGAGGAATACATTATAATACAATATTTGTAGGTGGTTGTTACTGCCTCCTGCCAGAGCTTCCTGTCGCATCCTGTCTTTGGCTGTGATGTCCCCAGGAGCACTCCCAGCTCGCTCTGGTCAGAGTTACCTGGCTGGCTTACATAGCAGATCTTCTATATCCTCACTAGCATTGGCTGAAACAGATAAGGGCTTGGCCATGCAGCACATCTGCTGTCCTCCAGCAGTGACTCTCAAATTGCAGCTGGGGTAGTCATCTCTGCTGCCAACACAGGGCAGCTGGACAGAGGGTACCTGTCGGACGTGTTCAAGGTCTTCCAGAAAACCTGTGCCAGAGAGAGAGCTGAAACTTGACCTGCGTTGTCTCAAGCTAGCCCCAAAAGACATTTTTCAACAAACTGCTTTGTTATATCAAGTGTACTAAGGATGCTACCATTGTCCCATTTTAATTACTGAGATTTTTTTGTGTTTATTTCAATGTGACTGCAGTATCCTGTAGCTTTTTAATGGCTTTTATAGGGTTTACCATCTGTCTTACCAGCATCCTGTAGTCAGTTGCATTTTGTAGGGATGCATTTGCAGTTATTTATGTTGCTTTATGTTGCAGAAGAACTCCGTAAGAAATGATTGGAGATAACAGAAAATAATTTATTAGTTTCAATTTCCAAAACATGGGAAAGAAACTAAAACCATGTTAAAAATTGGATTTTGGTAATTGATGCCAACTCTTAAGCTAGCTGTTCTCTTGTATGTTTAGAAAAATGAACTGAGTGTCATATATAATGCCCAGCTTAATGCATTATCAGCATGAGTAGACCTATAAAAGTGCTATACAAATAAATGTAAACATCCACTTAGATCAATGCAAGCCTGTAAACAGATGGTCTGAAGTGCATTCGTATTACACTAGGGGTTTGAGAGGATGTTTAGTCAGACAATAGGTGACAGCCAGGGCTATAGCCGTGTTTGACAGACAGCTTCATAGGAAGTCCTAGCCAGAGAAAGGTGTGGATATGCTTTAGCGAGATACATTTTACATGTTTGGCAAATTAATTTCTACTGATTACTATTTATTTGGAGTAATCAGAAGCATGTCTGTTGTTGCCTGAGGCTGGTAAGGAGTTTAAAAGCATTATTAGCGTAAGCTTAACAACACTTTCATCATATACATAAATATCATCCTGTTTTCATGGATAAAAAGCTGTCAATACTGCCTGAATACTGTTCCCACTGATTTCATTGTTCCAGAAGTGAGGCTTTTTAGAAACTGCATCCCAAATGATTTATCACAGCTCTCCCAAGATTTACAGATCTCATGACTGCTTAAGAATCCTATTGAGCAAGTTGCTAAGCATCTTCAGAGATTTTGCAAGTTTAATTTCCTTGGCAAAACAAGGATGTTTGCTTATTATCTTCAAATTTAATTGTTGGCTCTTCACAGCTTTGTGCTTCCATTACATCTACTGTTCTTGCCAGTGTAACGGTCGGTGTGCAGCTCCTCAAATTGTCTGCAGTAAAAGGTGCTGAGTGCTAGATTTGATAAACTGTCAGCACTGCAGAATGTACTGCGCTGCCCAAGATTTTAAGAGGCTGATACTTGTTCCAAATGCAAATTTGTACACAACAGGCCTTATTCTCCTGAGCACAACTCTCCAGATCTCTTCCCAGGCACATGCTCATGTGGTGCCTAGGGAAGGGAGGGATGTTTGTTATGGAGCATGCTAATTATGAAACAGATTTTATCAGCCATTTTTGCAAATTGGCCTCAAAATTACCAGAACCCCAAAGTATCATTAAAACTGCCTTGTAACAGCAATAATGAATGAGTTTCAGTGCAGCAGGTAAGTGTGTAACATTCTGAGACATGCTGAGTGCTTGGGACTTTGTGGAATCTGGTTCTAATAGTGGGGGTTTTCCTCCATAGCACATGTCAAAAATAAAGATGATGGACAGAGGCTTGTGGCTTTTCTGTGTAAGATCCAGTAGGCATTTTATAGGGTCTCAGCTATTGCAATCACAATCTCTTTAGATCTTTGCTGAGAAAAACCGTCCAGTTTATACAAAGTCCTGCATATTTCTTTTTTCTTTTAAAACATTAGTTCTTTTTAAATGGTCGTGAGCTGCCATGGAGGAGATGTTTTAATGTTTTGCTGTAGAGTCAAAGTCTTCTTTTAGGATTGAAACAGGTATAGACTGGTGCTCACCTGTGCTACAGGCATGGAGGAAGGTTGCTTTTGTTCCGATTACCTTCCCTATAAGTAAAAATCAATTATTTATGTAGTATGAAATACTGCCCTATTTTTGCAGCTGAAGATAAATAGCATTTCCAGAAGTTCTCATTGTTGCTTCTCTCAGTGTGCCTCCACACATCAGTAATCAGAGTGCCGTGGGTTAGGTTTTAAGGCAGGGTGAGGAGTGCCTTTGCCTGCAGGTACACAGCCCACTTCAAACAGCTCTGACCAGGACTGGCGTGCCAAGGGGCATCTCTGCAGTTCTTCTGTGGGCAAGGGTTGCAGCTGGATGTGTACTGCTCCGTGTCGTGCTGTGATTTGGAGACCAGATCAGCCTTCTTTTCCTTCAGTTAAAAGCATTGTGTTTGACAATGCCTGCCTAGCTTGAGTGAAGGGTCTCTCTGAGAGTGGTTTCTCTGGATCACAGCCTTTAACTTTTCTGAGTGGTAGTTACACAGGGACACCTGGACTATTTCCAGGCTTTGACAGTGGCTAGAACGGGGTTAGCATGTGGGGTTTTTTGCCTTTGGTGCTGAAAGAGGCCAGTATGCATTGTCCTGAAAATTACTGCCTGACTCAGAAAGGGTAGCAAAGCGTTTTAAAGAATAGAGTTTTCTGTCAAAGATGAGACGTGAACATCAGAACTTACCTCTTTGGCACATGGCCTTTTGCTGGGAGAGGGGTGATGTCTCCTTGGTTAACTTGTTTCAGACCAGCTCATTCTGCTGGTTTCACCGCAGGAAGGGGATGTCAGCAGCAAACCATGGCCTTTCTGAACCTCTATTTAAAGAGCAGAGGTTTGCCAAAGCTGCTTGGTCAGCCTCCCTGCCCGTCCGCTGTGCTGCCTGCCCCTGAACCTGGAGTCGGGGATGAGCCAGGACGGTCCCGCAGACTTCCGCCTGGGCTGCGGTGGCTCTGCCACCTCCAGTTTCTGTGGGATGTTTGAACCAGGCCACGTATGGTTTGAATTTAGGTCTATTTTAGTATCAAAATGCCCATTTAGAGCTGTAATTTACTGCTGTCTTCCTAGAACAGTAGGCAGTGTTTGCTACCAACTACTTCCTCTCCATCAGGATGAAATGCTTTTTAAGTAGGGCTAGGGTAGATTATTTTTTGGTGTTTTGGAGATGCTGGTTTAAGCCTTTTTTCCTTTCCAATATCTTTCCAGAGGAGGAGGAAAATATCTCATCTTCATTTCCTTGCCGCATGTTGGGTTTTTGGTTGGGGGCAGGGGAGGAGTATTTTTCACTTGAGTTCCAGACTAAATTTACTAAGTTTGGCACTTTATAGTGCCAAACCATGTTGATGGTTTCAACCATCAATAACTTCTTTAGTTAGGCAAACTGAAAGCTTGCTGGAAATTGCACTGCTACTTACAAAACTATATGTATGCATAATACAGATATACATGCAAAAATACATCTAATATATGTGTGTATTCATGTGTATAAATATATATATATGCATATGTACATATGATGCAGGTGTCATTCAAATTGCTTTCTCCACTTGACACCAATTCACTACCTCTCCCTGAAAGTATTAGATTTTTAATAAATTTGCCATTTCCTTTGTCATTTTGCTAAGCAAATAGATAGAATATAGAGCCAGGCAGGCTTTCTTCTCCAGATTTGTTAACATAAACTTTATAGGAAGAAAATTATTATAATGTAAGTTTAAAATTCCCTGTTTCACAGATATACACAGTTCTGGACTCTAAAATTAAGTAGAGTTTTACTTCTCAGATGCCCTTTCTCAAACAGCTCTTGCAGAATGCTTCTCCATTGCACCTGTGTGAACTGGGGGCAGGTGGGAAGAACAATAACTCTTTTTTTTCTTTTCTTCTGTCTAATCTATCCAGGTTGCACCCATTACCCTGCATCTTTGGGGAGTGGTAATGAATTGTGTGGCTCTCCTCCTGTTTCACAGTGTGACCTTCAGTATGTTTCTGTGTCTAATAAAGTCTAGACCTTATTTTCCTCTTGGGATTTCTGTGAGCCTTCGAGTCTGTTTTGAGCTCCTGGATGCAAAAGGAGGACAGTGTCTAACACCCATAACCAGGTGGTTGCTGTGGCTCTGATCATCTTTTCCTCTTCTGTTGCACAAGAGGAGTTCCACAGGGTACCCATTTAATATGTGGCATCAAAGTGCATTAGCAGTGTGCACTTGCAGCTTTGTCAAACCAGTAATGAAAGAACTGGCAGGTCATTCTGAAAGCACATGGTAAAACCCTAGGGAAAAGCATTTAATCTAATTTTACTCATCGTTCCTAATTGTCTCTGCTTGGAATGAGAGGATCATTCTCAACAGTTCTCTTCTAGTGTGGATTTTCTCAATGCTGTTTCTTTTCTCTCCTTTTCTTATGGCTCTTTCCACTGCAGACAGGGCAACTCCCCTTCCCTAAGGTGAAGTGTTAAAGCACTGCAACAGTGCTTCAGATCCTGTGCCCTGAGATATGTCACGGTTGAGCAGTGAGTTCTCCCTACCTCAGTCAGCTAAGGCAAACTTATCTCTGGGTATCTCTCGACAGAGATATACCGGTCCTGAAATGTCACATTTAATTAATAAATGACTTCAGGAAAGGATTGTAAGAATGAGTTGAAGTCTGGGAAGTCATGCCATTAAAGAAAGACTAAAGGCAGCCCATCAGAAAGTGGACAATTAAAAGGGGCCATGGCCTACAAACAGCTAAGCGACAGAGTAATTTCTGTCAGGGTAGATAGCTCTTCAGAGCAACAGAAAAAGGCAGAACAAGATTCAGTGCCTAAAAGTAGAAACAAAGCTCACTTGGATTTAGAGACCTCTTGAATTCTTCATTACTTGCAGCCTTTAAATCAAGACAGGATCAATTTATAAACCAGGATATGTGATGCAGATGTTCTTAGCCAGCTTATTTCACAAGTTTTATTCAGGAGACAATTACTTTTTTTCTGCTCCTAAATGTGTGTTATAAAATTAAGGTCATTCTGCAGGACAGGGGTTTGTTGGGGTTTTTTTTATCTTTTTTAATCTTTCATCCCCTTCCATGGTTATGGCTCTGTTTTCTGTGAGCTCTGGTCCCTTAATGGGGAAGTAATTTGTGTTTTGCACTGATTCGGTGTAGTCAGACTGATTCTGCATGACCTGGGTGAGGGTATCGTATCCTATTAGAGGAGTGGAGACCAAGCTACAATATCTTGGCTATGGAAAATTTTCCTAATATGTCTTTGTCATTTTGCACAAATGGAATTGCATATTTTTGAGAAAAATATGAAGTGGCTAGAGATGGAGTGGGAGGGGAGGCTGAGTGACCTTTCATACTGATGTAAATTGCTTATGGTTTAGGAAACAAAATGTCTTTATTGTGGAAAAAACACAATATCCCAGGTTACTGCAAAGTCCTCATTTGGAAGGATGGAGGTGCTGAGCAAATTATGTGCTGCAGGCAACCTTGAACTTCACTCTCCCCATCGGGCAAGCAAAATACAGGCTGAGGAGCAATAGCAAAGTGTCTCCTGGACAAAGTTGTTAAGCAAACTCATGCGTTCAGTGCTGGTGAGAGGAGCACAGACCGGACAGAGCTTCCTTCCCTCAACACTTGCCATCGGGACTTCTAGAAAGCCAGGACAGGTAGCTGAGCTCCCCCGTTGCTTGAGCCACCCATGGACTGGACAGTGGCTGTGTCTGCCACCAACACCTGGGGGATCTTGTTTAATTTGTCCTGCCCTGGATATAAAATAAGCAATACAAGACAGCTGGATAGGTCTTTCTTCAGTTTCCTTATGTATTTTTTTTTTTTTCTTCCCCTTTTTCTTTGCAGTATGTGGTCATTCCAACACGCCGTGCAACCGCAGTGGCCTTGCAGAGTTTCACTTCACACCTCCTGGGAGATGCTGGCAGTCCTTATCTGATCGGATTTGTAAGTGCTCACAGCAGGTTTTGGCAGGGTTGCGTGCCCATGTTTGTTTTTGTTTACGAACTGCTTATCTAAAATGCCAAGTTAAACCATGCTAGGGAAGGAAGGCCTGTGTTTATCAGCAGAATGGGAAGCAGTGCAGTGCAACTTTTTTACATGCTTATGTTATCGGTGGGCTACAATTCAAACCTGGAAGGGACCACTTGATCACGAGAAGTGAGCGTCTAAATCTTTTTACCCTAGGGCATTTTAAAGCTTATAGACAGCTCTGTAAAGGGAGAGCCATTGCTTCTGTGGTGTGGACATAGGCCCATTAGAAATTAGATTGGAACAGTTGTGTATGTGTTTAGCTGTTAATCTGGTCTCATAAACCAAATACCTATTTATGGGTAGCAACACGCAGCTGTTCTGACCTGCTGATATTTTGAACCTGTTTCGTATGATAATATAGATGACGGTGTAAAATCCATGGCAGGATGGGTGTGTATGTTTTGGGCATTTTATTAGTATTCTTTTCTGCTGTGTATGCTTTGGGTTTTTATTAGTAGTATTCCTTTCTATTACTGCTGCAGTTGTTGGCCTTGGCCTGACTGGAGATCTCCCTTATTATGCCACCATTATCCTAGTGCAGAGCAAAACAAAAGACCCTGCTCCAAAAGCTGGTAATCAGAGAACATTCACAGTTGGAAATATAAGGCCTGGGAAATTTAATGAGGAAAAGAAATCTAGATATACTGGGGCAATTTCTTTCCCTTGCACCCTTCTGTGGAGTTTGACACACTGAGCTTCAGAGAACACAGGTCATCATTTATAAGATACAGTAGCTTCCATGTAAAGCCATAAGTGGCACTGCTTATGCTGTGTTGAAGCTGCTACAGTTTTCCAGTGATGTAACTGGGATCTTCTCTGCTCCCATCGCCTGACAGACAGAACTGATGTGCTCTTCCAGCACAGTTCTGCTGTGTGACACAGCTGCCGGGTGCTATAGACCCTTTTTTAAAAAAAAAAACCCTGTCATTTCTCATCTATTCATTCCATAGACACTGGTGTGTGTATTTGTACATATTGATTTCTATATATATTTAATTTTGTATATATATAAATATACACAAATATTTACTCTTGAATGCCAACTCCCCAGAATGATATAGATGCTTTGTAGCTCTCTGAAGCATACATGAAGAGACAGATACAGATAACACTGATCAGACCAAACAGATGAGAAATGTCTCAAGAAATAAATATGTACAATTTGCCTTACTCTTTATTTACTTCAGTGTTCAGGGCACCCAGGGAGAAACAATCTTATTTTAGAAATTATTTGAAAGTGGCAACAAAGGAATCACTGGAAGAGACTGCTTTGTACAGGGTGGGTGACATGGGGAATGTCAAGCTGGAGAACGAAATAAGCAGGCCAGCGTGCTTTGAAGGCAGGTGCCAGTGATGGGAGGCAGGGCATCTCCAGCATTTTCATTCTTTTTTGTTACATAAGAGGGATATCCAGGAGGAATGGCGAGAACCCTGAATGATTGCAATTAATCTTGAAAGTTGCCTAGGGCTTTTTAGTGTCACAAATTAAAAAAAAAAAAAAAAAAAAAAAAAGGACTTTGCTTGTAGAAAACAATGTGCCTTGCCCTTCTGGTATTCAGAGATCAAGCAAGTTGTGAGTAACTTAAGGATGCCTTCTTGAAATAAGCTTAATCCCAATTTAATGGCTGCCTTAGGCTTTCTTTAGATTGGGAAAATATTAATTATGATTTTGAATTACTCTTTTTCTAATGCTGTACTTGTTGGGCAGTTCTTATTTGGGAGGAGACTATTCAAGTACAAGGCTCTGTGGCAGGCGAGCAGGAGTAAAGCTCTCAGGTCACGGAAGGCACCAGCACCCACTTCTGTAGCCTCCAGACGGGCTTGGCTGACTCATGCTCCCTGTGCTACAATGACTGAAAGGTCAACTGCAGCTTTCACATAACACAGAAAAACAAATACTTATTTAAGTGAAGAGACAAGCAGTCAACATGATTGTTAAAAAATGCAGGTGTTTGTCATTCCAGCTGCGTTGTTGGAAACCTTCATGCAGGATTGAAATCTCACTCGGGCAGGTTGCAGAAGTGGCTTGGATTATGACCAGGATTTTCAAGGCAGTCTCTGGGAGCTAAACTAAGCAACCTACTGGCTTTAAGGGAAATTTGGGAACCCAATTCCCTTAGTCCTCCTGGAAATCCCCAGCCCGAGGACATCAGCTCACACTGCTGTTACTCCAGACTTACAATGGAGCACACCAGAGCAGGGATAGGTGTTGAGAGAGGAGCAGAAGGCAGAATAAATCAACTGAGCTGCAGCAACAGGCATGCTCAGAATGAGTGAAGCACAGCCTTCTGACCACTCAGGGTTCATCTGAGATCCTGAAGATCTGCCACTTCTTCTGACTGCTGACAAAATCTCCCTAAATGAGCAGTGTTTGATCAAATATGGTTTACGTAGTCTCGGTGAGTTCAGGGTGAGATTCCCTCTAGCAGTGCTCTTAATAAAGAATCAGATACACATGTCCTTGTAGGACTAAGCTGTTGTGGGCAGTTGTCTCTGTCTGCTGGATACCAATAAGTGTTGTATTGATTTTATAATCCTCATATGGAACGTAGAAGGTACCTAACAGCTGCAGCCTCGTGTGTGCAATTGCTCCCTTGCTCTGTGATATGCCATAAAAGTTGAAGGCCAGACTTGGATTTTTTTTTCTCCTGTAATCTCCTCCAGTTCCAAATCTTGCAATGCAGATCCATACAATCACCCAAAGCACCAAATATACGTTAGTGTTTAAAAGCTAAGTGGAAGGAAGCATGTCTGTATGGTTATTTTTCATGTCTCTTTAAATACAGATAACTTTTATTATGGTAAAAAGGCTTAAGATTGACTTACAAAGAAGTTATGCAAATGCAGTTTTAGGGTGGCAGCTGTAACTTGCATAGGGTTTTACTACCTGCCAAGCACTGAGATCAATTACTATTAATCAGCGCTGCCTATTCATTCACAAATAAGCATAGCCATTGCTGCAGTATTTCATTAGACAAGACAGGGTTTTTTATTCCTAGATAATTGTAACTTTTTCAGAACCTTCGTGATAACCTGAAGAATTTAAATAATTCCTGCTTAACAACTTGGAGTATAACTCCCATGCTTTATTCTTGATGTAGTCCATGAGAAATTTCACCTGTTCAGTGCATTACATCCAAGTATCTCTAGTACTTTTCTGTCTTTGGAAGGTCCCACTATTGAGACACAGTTAATGAAGCACAGAACAGTTAAGAAAAATACCCCAAATCCCAACACTCATGCTGAGTAACAGATAAAGGTCTTCTAACTGCTCTTCCTGTGCCCTAATACTAGACAGTATTTCAGACTGAAAAGAGCTGAGTGGAGGTGGGTCGCAGCAGAATGTGAAATACACTTCTCCCACTGCAGCATAGCTCCAGCTCTTTGTATTGTAAATTCCGGTTGTATATTTGTTCCTTTCTAATTGTAAGAGGTGCCAGTGCGTCTGCGCTTCTGTGTTCATCTGTGCAGGTGCATGCATGTATCTGCCTTCTTTACTCAGGGTTCACATTATTCCTTCACACAGTGGTCTCCCTCCACTTGCTGACATTCTCTTTTGCTTCAGGAAAACAGAGTACAGGCAGTGATTTTTTTTTTTTTTTTTTTTTTTTTTTTGAGGCTGTGCCTTGGTGCTTTTTCTTTCCTTCCTCCAAATCTGTCATTTGCTTCCTATCTGAGCAAAGCAGAGCTTTCCTCTTCCATCCTTGCCTTGCTTCTAGCCCTGGCTGTGATGAGAAACGGGCACCTACGGCAGGCTTTGCTCTCTCTGCACGTGCCAGGGAATTGCTGTTGTGGGCACACAGTGTCCTGGCTGCTCTGGTGCTGCTGGCTCTCCTGTTAGCTTCCTCCTTTATTAAAGTCTTTCACATCTCCCCTGTGCAACCGTCCATCAGGTCTAGGGTTTGAAACCTGTCTGTAGCTGCTTGTCACCTGGCAGCTTCAACGTGTGAGGATGGTGGTGTAAAGTGCCAGAGATCAGCTCTCCTCCACCAGCACCTTTTGCTGGACTAAAAGCACTCCCTGTACTCCACTGGTGTGGCTCCCACCAGTCCCGACCTCCTTGGCTGCCGCTGCTTCACTTTCACCTGAGGGACACAACCCCCCCCGCCACTCCGGCCAGGCAGCTGCAGGACAGCGTGCCACGGTCTGGCAAGCAGGCTCTGTGGGAGGGGGGGGACCCCGGTCACTCACCTGGGTGCTGAGGGTCACACAGAAGCTCTGCCCATCCGTCCATCTCTGGTGACACAGATGGCAGCGTTACCTGCTGTCTCTGCTGGGCTCCTCCTGGCCCACCCTGCGGCCCCAGTGCCCAGGCACGCAGGTTCACCCAGCACCAGGGGTCACCGGCATCTCCGCCCACGTCTTCTCTTTGAACGGTCTCCCCTCAAAAAAGAGGCCTGAGTGACCTTGTAATTAACAGTAAGCAAATCTGAGCTGTTCTGCTTTGAAGGGGTTTTGCGCTGCTCCTAAGGCTACCTGGAAAGATCGTAAGAATAAGCCCACCACTTGTCTCCCCCAACTTCCTTGTATGAGTGAGTTGATAAACTAGATCTAATGAGCTACTTAAACAGCAAGAATGCTAATGACCTTCCTTTAGCAAGTAGTTAGCAGAACAGTGTTAATTATCACTGGTGCAGAGTATCAGGGAAGGCACATCAGCGTTTGATTAGGGGCAACTCAAGGAAAACTGTAGTAAATGCAGCCATTGAGATACTTCTTTAATGAAAGTTATAACTGGAGGTGTAGATTTCACAGCCTTTTTGTTGATTTGGTCTCAAAGGTGTTTACTCATCCAAGTAGACATGTATGTATAGAAAGTAGTTCTATATGTAAAGACTTGCCTGCCTGAGGAAGCAGAGTTCATGTATTATGGTTTAAAACTTGTATTTTATGGTTTAAAATTCCATGGCTTC